CGTCTCTGGCCGTAAGGGCGAAGAAGACGAGCAGCAGCATCCATCTCATGTGCGAACTGATGGACGAGTCTCCCATGGCGAGCTTTTTCTTCCTTCTTCCTCCTCCTCCTCCTCCTTCTCCTCCTCCTCCTCTTCTTCTTCTTCTCCTCTTCTCCTCTCCCTCTTTCAGCGCCTCTGGATCACGACGCCATCTCTTGTCGGCCGTGTGTCTGTTTCCCTCTTTCTTTCCCTTGTCCCTTTCTCTGTTCCTTCTTTGATCACTGTTTTTTTTTTTTTTTTTTTTTTGTTAGTAGTATTTACCTTTCTCTCTTTTTTCTTTCTTCCTTTCTTAGTTTTGTTTTCTTTCTCTCTAACTCATCTTTCTAAACTGAAACTCGGGATTAATTTCAAATACATGTTGTTGTTTTTAAACGTCGTTATTTTTTGTTTTATTTTTATTTTTTTTTCGGTTTTCCCTTCTTTGTTTATTTGATTTATCTATTCAAATCTCTCACTTCTGTATTTCTATTTTCTTCATACCTTAAAATCACACACATAAAATTCACATTAGAAATAATTATCAAAAAATTAAAACAAAAACATATGAACTCAATCACAAGCTTTACTTCTCAATTTCAGGTACACATAGATTTTTTTTTTCAGGCCTAAATTGATTCTCCCTTTTGTCAAGTGCAAGATAATCCTAATAATGTCATTCTATTTATCAAAGTCACGAAAAGACCGAGTTAGTTCAACCTCGAATGCCCTTGGTCTCCATGAGGCAGCCTTAGCAAGCCGGTGCCAGTCGATGCGTAAGGATCATTTTCTCATCTGGAAAGAAAGAAAAGTGGTCTTAGCGTCATGACGACTTCTGGTATGCATTACAGTGTATGAGGAATATGTGTTATATTGATAAATGAATTTGAATATATATATATATATATATATATATATATATATATATATATATATATATATATATATATATATATAAATTATAATATAGGGAGGGAGGAAGGGTGGAAGGACGGACGGAAGGAAGGAAGGAAGGAAGAATGGCGGAGAGAGAGGAGAAGTGAGAGGGAGGGAGGAAGAGGCAAACAGACAGACAGACAGACAGGAAGGAAGAAAAACAGAGAGACAAAAAGATGTTCAGACAAACCAAGAGAGAAAGAGAAACGCAAAAGTGGAGAATAGAGAGAAAAAAGAAGATCACGACAGAAAAAGAGAGAAAGAGAAAGAGAATAAGGAGGAACAGAAATGGTAGGGAAAAAATGAGAGGGTGAAAGCAGGAAGAGAGAGGGGGGGCGGGGGGAGCGTGACCTGTTGAGTGCCGATAGCCGGGAATTAAGAGATAGGAAGATAAGGAAGTTAATATTGCTGCCTCTGGAGGTTCGTGAGCTCGTAAGTCCCTCTTGCCCGGAATTCTTAACTTTATTCTTTCCGATTTCGTTTTTTCGAGAAGAAAAATAAATTACTTCGCTGTTGCTCTCTCTCTCTCTCTCTTGTCCATCCACCTCTTCTTTCTCTCTCTCTCTCTCTCTCTCTCTCTCTCTCTCTATATATATATATATATATATATATATATATATATATATATATATATATATATATATATATATATATATATAGGCTTATTTCTTTCGTCTGTTATCAGTGTCTTTCTGTCTCTTTGTCTGACAGCAAGCCTGTCTGTCTGTCATTTTGTATGTTTACCTGTCTGCCAATCTGTTAGTCTGTCTGTCTTCATATCTGTCCATCTCTTCCCTTTGTTTCTGTAGCTCTAAAGCCTTGTCTGTGTATATTTCTGTCAGCTACCACACCCATCTGTCTGTCTGTCTGTCTGCGCTGATCCACCTTCTCACACAAAGCCAAAAAATTCTGCGGGCACCTGTCTCCTGGGGTAGAGGGGTGGGGGGGAGAGGGGGGAAGAGGAGGGGAAAGGGGAGGGGAGAGGGAAGGGATGGGGAGGGATAAGGAGAGAGAAAGAGGGAGAGAGAGGGGAAGGAGGAGAGAGAGAGAGGGATCGAGTGAGGAAGGAGAAGGGGGAGGGGGAAGGGGAGAGAGAGGGGGGAGGGAAGGACTGAGGGGAAACGCAAGGACTCTCCCCCTCCCCTCCCCCCCCCCGTGCAATCCAGGGGACTGAAGAGGCGTGCCCGTCGAGAGAGAGAGAGAGAAAGAGAGAGAGAGAGAGAGAGAGAGAGAGAGAGAGAGAGAGAGCGAGGGAGACGCTACACCACACACGACACACGCCTACTCCCGCTCGCCAACCCCCCCCCTCCCCCTCCTCTTCCACCACACCTTCACCCCCACCACCTTACTCTACCCCACCTTCCCCTGCTCTACCATCACCTCCCCCTCCTCCTCTTCCTCTTCCTCCTCCTCCTCCTCCTCCTCCTCCTCCTCTTCCTTCTCCTCCTCCTCCTCCTCCTCCTCCTCCTTCTCCTCTTCCTTCTCCTCCTCCTCCTCTTCCTTCTCCTCCTCTTCCTTCTCCTCCTCCTCCTCCTCCTCCTCCTCCTCC